GAGTATGGAATGAGCACAAGATAAACACAGTCTAATGTTGGAATTGCCATTTTCGGTCCTTGTTCCGGAGACCAAAATGATTCCGGAAAACTACCCAGCTTTTACAAAAACCAACAGTAAAACCACATGTTTGACCTACGAAATGTGAAAGCTGATAAATTGTATTACTCTTAATGCTATTTCTGCATATTTTAGGTGTAATAATAGCAGTTTTTATCACAAAGGCTGGAAAATTTAGAAGATGTCAGGTACCGGAGAAAAATTTGTAGAGGAGAACCAATTCTGGACCCGACTGGGACCAGCAAAGGGTCTTATTTCCAACATTGGCCCAGTCATGCACAAACACATCAGAATTCGACAACGGACTGCAACAATGCGCGGCTACTTAAAGGTAGTGTGCCACCTTTGAAAGATTTCCCATTTTATTTTTCCTAGGATAAGAAGCTTCTGTTTTTACCTAATATCGCAAAAAAAAAAATCAAAAATGGGCCTGGAATAGTGCCTTTTTCGCCTAAAAGTTTTTCGGTTTTTAGATATGTATAACAACTGTAGTGGGCTCACCTGCAAACAGGCGTCGGGCAACAATCGCGAATGCGGCGCATTTGTGACAATAAGCAAAGGTCATTATAGTGTTACGACCATACGACGTACGGGAATGAGTTATCAGCTGTCTAATCGTAGACAACACAATGTCGAGCCTTAAACTGTAAGCCCGTATTGGTATTGTTTCTTTTATTTGGCTGTCGAACATTATTTATGGTTTGAAATACGATTTTATGTAAAATAATTGATATGAAAAAGCCGTCTTATAAGTTATGACCCCATTTCACCACACGCAAGTGGCAGAAATGACAATGATCAGCTGACGCATTTTTCTTGGCCGAAGTCAGAGCGCGCGGCCCGACGCACCACGCGTATTTGGAAATTCCGACCTCGACGAGCATCAGAAGCCACCTAACAGGCGTGTTCGAAACCGCAGGAGATGATGATGAACGGGTTTATCGAAACTTGATTGGATGAGCATATCGGTAATAGCGATTTCAGTGTGTGCATTTATTGTTCATAGTGGTGTGAAATGTGGTTGGGGTACGACCGACAACCCGTCGGGGCGAATTTCGCACTGGGGTACTCAAAATTTGAAGAATTTAAGACGTTTCCATGAGTTTTGAAGGGATGGATAAGTTCTAAAAATCCGGTTCTCCTTATCTGGGCCATTAACTCCATACGGTCCAAGAAAGCTGGCACACTACCTTTAAAACACAAAACTGTTGATAATAGCATTATAGCATACAAATCGGAACGTGATTATACCGATTGGCGATGTGTAAGATAAGCTTGAACTATGAGATCATGTCTCTAAATCACGGGAAAAGGCGTGGTTGGTTTCAGCAGGAAGCTGTCGGCGGGCAAAACAAGCCTGTCGTATCAATACTCACAAGTTGACATATACGGGAATGACGCACGACCGCATTAGGAATTCACCGCAGCTATATGAATTGACTAGAGCTGTGACAGCTCATATGAGCTTCCCCGTGTAATAGTGAAATAAACGGCTTTGGACAGACCGCCACCATCAGGAGCGAGTTTCAGAAGCTGGCCGATGCTGGTAGTCAGACATACGCGGACCGACCGCCCAGCCCATTAGACGGATGAACGGACGGATAAATGGCCCGGACTGACGAAGTCGGTGCCGGCATTAAGCATTAAGCAATCCCCACTTTGACAAACTGATTAATATCTGATCATGAAATTCCAAATTTAAAAGCAAAAGTTAAAGAATAATGTGTCACAGCTTTTTATGTCTGTTGAAATACATGGGGAAATAGCCCTTTAAAAACACTGATAAAACAAACCATTCAGGAATTATTGACCGTTGGCTACAACCTGAAGAAATTTACTGCAGTCTAGAGTGCATGCCTGAAGAAAGTGCAATATGTGCAGCCTTGTAGTGATAGTCAAGGTATGCAATAAAATGTCAGAAATGAGATGGATCAACACAAATGCGAGAATACAACCATGTGCAACAGGCATATTCAGATGATTAAATAAAAGGCAAACTTTCAAAATGGTAGCTTTCTACATACCTTCAGTGAGCTTTGCACGTCCGCCAGTGGGCTGGCACAGGACTGTCGAGCAGCCGACGCACAGCACCACGGTCTGGGCATGGCTAAACACAGTGGTGATCTTGTAGCATCCTGTCAAGCAAAAACAAAAGTCAGCAAATAATACGGCAATACTATTCTAGCTTTAACAACCTTGTTTTAAGCCCAACAATCCATGTGATAGTATAAACACCTGACATGGCAGTAGCTGAAAGGCAAATGAATGATGATACAACAAAACAAATGATGGGAATCATGTGGCCAGGATCACAACTGGAAATCACTGGTAACATCAGGTATTATTGAGCCTTTGCCCTTTGATGAAAATTGTCTTTAGGGTGCTAAATGAATCAAGACAATGTCATGCATTGACTAACTTCCTTCAAACTTCCTTATTATTGTAAGAATGTTTTTGAATATACAAATGAGATACATTTTGTGGAGGAGTGAACATGTGCCATGTAAGGCCTTTCTTGAAAATGACAGCCTCATAAGCCATTGTCTTTGTAAAAATTCAATTACCCCCCACAAAAGCATCCTTAAAAATACCACCTTCTGAATTCAACAGAACTTGGAGCATAGGACTGATAAACAAAACAATCAAGAAAGTACAAGAATGGCAATACATGATACAGGCCTTTGATCATTTAAGGTTCAAAATCATATCAATTGACTGTGGAAAAAGAGAAGCAATATTTCAATAAGTTACAAAGTTAGCAGATACGGCATGTAACAACTATCATGCTTTATTCTCTTTATTAAATTTTAGAGATAAAGGGGAAAACAATCTTGCCTGGTTCATCAAATGCAATAGATTAAGTCAAATGTCTAAAAGGAATCCATTGACAATCATGAATTCAGATATCCATGGTCACCTTTGACATCAAACTGCTGGCACTAGGTTAAGGATACCCGAAAACAAAGTTAAAGAAATTATCAGAAATACCAGACCTGGGCATTTGACATCCATGAAGTAAGAATTAGGATGCTGAACAAGCCTCTTCAGCTTGCACTTGCGCCTCTCCTCATCCGCAGAGGGGTGTAGCAAATCTTTCGCGAGCTGTAAGGAAGAGAAACACTCATAAAACATTAACTCAAAAACAGCAATGGCAACAGTGCCATTTTGAATTCAAGACACACATCAAATGTGCTAAGACAAAAGGCAAAGCATGGACAACAAGAGATAGACTGGCATATCTATAAGTATAAGAAGCAAGATAACTAAGTGACAAATGACAGCTGTTAAATTGTCCTTTGTCATTTAAAAACCCTTAACCAATAAGAAAGATCACTGACATTTGAACAATAATTTCCCAATCTGCGGCTTAAAAACATGAGAAAGCCCTAACACCATTTAATTAACAGCAAACAGTGTCATGGCCCATCAACAAGTAAGCTTCAATTGTGGCCTAACCATACCGCAATACAGCCAGGAAATTCTTAAGCTGCAGAAAATATACCACTTAAAAATATTCATTAAATGAGTTCCACAAAACCAAGACCTTTATTGAGCTCCGCCGATTCAACAAGACGCAGCACAGCAAAACATCACAATTTGATCAGGAATTAGGGCAGAAGCACACATGCACCAGCCTAGAAACACTAGCAAGAACCTTGCAGAATCCGATATTGTGATTTGTTTTTCAAATGGACGCCCAATCGGCTCAAATTCATTGATTTCTCAATAGACTCACCGGCATGTTTACACCTGGCCACGGGCAGCGACCGGAAAAGAACTTCTCCGCGCAGCGCTGCCTGAAATGAAAAGTATTTGCTGTTGGAAATTTGCGAACAAGGCTACTAAATAATGCTGTGTTGAATATGATGTTAAAACGTCTTTGGTATTTTTGGTAAAACGAAGTTATAGGTAAAAAATGCGCTATTCCAAAGCAATTTCAAATAAGTGACACCCAAAATTTAAAAAAAGAAATATTTATTTCCTATCAAAAGATATGAAATGACTCTTTCCAATGTTTCGTTTCGTGCATTCTACTGCTAGTAGGTATGACCGTGGTAGGTATTTGGGGACTTGCCAGTTGCCACTGCTGAAGTGTGCAAGTGCAGAGATGCAGGCAACTGACAAGCACGCTAGACTTCAGCAGCCTGTTCAAGATAATGGGTCGGAAACCGATGTTTCATGTCAACCGGATCGACAGTCCATCAGAATGTCTATAAGGCCAACCCTATGGTAATCGAACTATGCATGCCATGCCTATAGCGAAGGAAATCACTGCATATCCTGCAACATATGATAAAGCTATCCCTAGAGTCTAGACCCTATGTATGATAATGATACTATAATTCGATGACGACATACCTATGTCATCGAATCCTAGCATCCCTGCATGACTATCTGGACAATCGGCAGCCACGATGAACCAGGTTAGATCCCACAGACACCTACCTTACCAAGAAGTCGAAAGCGAAAGCGTGGAGTGAGGGTGTGCTGCCGTTTTGAGCCACTTTGACCCGTTCCACGCACGCGCAAATCTCAGCTGACACAACGTGACGGTTCATCTGGTCGGGCCACTCCATGTGGTGCAACCAACCTGTGTCGGCTGTGTCATCCGGGATACCGAATGCCACTAACATAGCATCGACGGCCAATAGAGACGGGCTCGAACTGGACCCCCGGCGGCGGCAGTTACAAGCCCTGTATGTCATTTGAGACGATATAAGCGTGTTATCAGAATAGTAGTTGCCAACAATTTTTGGGTTATCGGAACACTAGACGTCTATCACTTATCAGTTTATAAAACAACAGTTCAAGCTTACCCTGGAACTGGAATACGCTCCATAATATGACGGCCATCGGATACTAAACATAGAAAACAATCTGCCACATTAGAATGTCGCACAATTGGATTGCGTCGAACCTCAGATCCAAGCAGAATGAAATTATGCGGTTAACTCCGCGGATGGATTATTGTGTATTACCTACCACATTTTCAGCAGCAAGTAAAGAACATTTGCGCTAACTCGTAATTGTTCACTTTACGAGACAATTAGTTATATTCATTTCACTTGCTGCGTCCAGAAAGCAACAAAGGCCGAATAAGTAAACGACATTGTAATTCAGGCACGGCCGACGTCAGTCTACCGAAACAATTCTGCATCACAAGTTCAATATCTCTCCTGTCCAGAATCCGAGGCCCCATCGGGGGAGCTCGATGTCGAATGGAACGTAACACAGGCACACAGCACGGCGTCTCGGTGTGCCTTTCACTCGTTAGTTAGCCGAGTCCGGAACACTGCCCTGCGATCACTGTCGTCTGGCCATTTCAGCCGTTATTTCGCACACATTGAGGATCGTCCGTCCACTCCAAGAGTAACGCCAGTAACGCCACAGTAACACAGCTCCTCAGTCACACCAGTCAGCGGGCCGTATCATGGGTCATTTCACTCCCTGGCCGCCCCGCGCGCGTTCGCCTAGAGTCCACCGCGGCTAGTGAGCCTCGCCCTTTTTCCCAGCGACCCGCTTGAATTCCTGCATGTTCGTGGTGCCGATCAGACTGCCGATGATGGCGATGTGGTCGATCCTCGTGGTGTCGGCACCCGTCTGGTTGTCACGGAAGAAGAGCTGAAGGTTCGTCACGTTCTGGAACTTAACGTAGCGCAGTGGCACGATGCCGTCAGCCAGGTCGTCCTTGGTCAGCTCCAGCTCCTGAACAGGTGTCATCGACTCGGCCTTGTCGAAGTCCAGTGTGTTGGGCTGGTTGATGAAGATCTTCACGTTCTTGGGTCCGTTCTCTGCCGGCGCGCGCAGGCGCAGCGAGTGCACCTTGACCGCCTGTGAGAAGGCTAACGAGAGGATGAGCTGCTCGTCGCAGTCCGACTCGAGGTAGCCGGCGCCGGCCTTCAGCGCGCCTGCGAACGGCCGCTCGTCGGACTCGTTAAGACACTCGCAGCTACCCTGGTGGATGTACTGGGCCAGGTCGATGTGACCGGCCACGCCGCAGTCCTCCGCCGCGTCGTCGCCGTCGCCGCTGCCGTAGTGCTGCTTTATCTTGTCTTCAAGCATACGCTGGTCGGCGCCCTGGCGGAAAAAGGCGAGATAAGAATAGGTGACGTTACCAACTTCCAATAACTGGGATCAAGCACGGACTGACCGGTGGGTCAAGACGGACATTAAAACATCGGAACGACCCGGCTGTATTCGGCGGCAATTCTGGACATCGCAAGGTAAACATTATGGTTAGAACGCGTCGCAAATTATAGCCTAGCTCAAGGCGTTTTGTAGGATTTCAGGCGCATATCAAATCGATAAGTCGCTAAAAGTGGAGCACTTCACGAAACTCAAAACGACTTCGAACAACTCTTGAAGTTGGAACAAACCAGGCAAATAATGCTGAATTTAATTATCTGCAGTTTTTCTCAAGTATCTAACAGCCAGCAATGCTGCAATAGTGCACTCATTCTCTCCCCATTTCCTGCTGAAGCACTAGGATCTTCCCACCGACCTGCATGCTGTCGATCTTGTTTTTGCTGCGGTAGAAGATGAACGTGGGCATGGCACGGACGCCCTGAGCAGCGGCTGTGTCCGGACACTCGTCCACGTCGATCTTCAAAAATAACGCCTGAGGACAGATAAATACATGAGTGTACGTGTTGTTTTATTTGAGTGATTCATTGACTTTTTTCTGTTCAAATAAATCGACATACCAGAAATGAACGCAAGAATAGACACGCATACAAAAATAGCAAGTGAATAAAGTTACAGGTCGTTTCGTAAAATCAACCATCTGTAACCGATATTACGAACTGAAAAGCCTAGAGGAAATTAGAACAAACAAGCACAGATCGCTTTCACGTCACATGATCAATTAGCCCAGAAACAACGGTCAAGAACTGGCAATCTGCATCTCCCAGTCCCAAGCTTAGCTAGTGAGTCACGTTACGGCTGATTGAAATAATGATAAAAATCATATCAAAGCCAACTTGCACCTCACGAGTGACCACAGCTCTCCGCGGCGTCACACCTACCTTGGGGTAGCGTTTGGCGTACTCGAGGAAGACGGGTGCGATTCGCTGACAGGGGCCGCACCAGGTGGCGGTGAAGTCGGCCACCACTAGCCGCTGGCCGGCGCTGGCCAGCTCCCCGGCCAGCAGGCCGTCCTCGGACAGCACCTTCAGGTTGTTGGTCATACTGCTGCTGCTAATGTTGCGTGTGAACTCTGGAGAAAATGAAGAAAACTTCATGTCATCAGTCAGATCTCATTTTAAGCAATCATACGTTGGCACTCTCCCGTAAACATATTGACAGAGGTTACCTAGCCCGCTATTTTCTTACAATGGAAAAACTTGACTTATACGCAAGCATTTTTTACTTTTTAGACCGGGTAACTTATGCACTGAGACAGTGAGCCCTAAACCAAACCCAAAAAAACAGCCTGTTTCAATGGGTTTAGTTGCCTGCTCGCTAAAGACACCGAGCAGCCAGTTCAAGCACTTGTGCCCCGTACGGCGTACAGGGCGGGGACGAGTGACAGACAGACTGAGAAGAGGAACTGGCGAGCTAGGACGAATGACATGTCTGTGGACCCTGCATCCGGGACCAGAGGGCTGGGATGGGTGTTTCGCCCTGCAGCTGGCAGGCAGGGACAAGAGACCAGCCAATAGTCTTGGAATGAACAGCATGGTTCAGGCCTGAGCTCTCACCCTGTTTCAGCGCACTTACACTTCCTGATGCTACCGGGATTGGCGCTCAATTTCCACAGAAAATACCTATAAGCAAGATTGTTGATTTTTGCTTATGTTACCATGGAGACCGAGCACCAATATCAGAAGCATCAGGTAGCGTAACCGGACAAATCTTCGTATGGCAATTCTTCGTCGCGCAATTCCTCGTCCGCATTTCTTCGTCCGCAAATCTTCGTCGGCGCATTTATTCGTGTCGCATAACTTCGTCTCGCATTTCTTCGTAAGCGCAAATATTCGTAGCGCATTTTTTCGTATCCGCATTTCTTCGTACGCGCATTTCTTCGTCAAGCATTTTTTCGTCCACGCATTTCTTCGTCTACGCAAATCTTCGTCCGCATTTCTTCGTCCACGCAAATCTTCGTCTGCGCATATCTTCGTCCGCAAATCTTCGTCCGCAAATCTTCGTCCGCATTTTTTCGTCCACGCATTTCTTCGTCTACGCAAATCTTCGTCCGCATTTCTTCGTCCACGCAAATCTTCGTCCCGGCAAATCTTCGTCCGCAAATCTTCGTCTGCAAAACTTCGTCCGCAAATCTTCGTCCGCAAATCTTCGTCCGCATTTTTCGTCCACGCATTTCTTCGTCCACGCAAATCCTCGTCCGCAAACCTTTGTCTGCGCATATTTTCGTCCGCAAACCTTTGTCTCCGCTATCTTCGTCTCCGCAAACATTCGTCCACAAATGTGGTTCAATAAAACCATGAAGAAATATCAGACCATCAAGTGATTGACGAATTTAATGCATGGAATGGATGTTCGAAACTTTTGAAGTCAGGTAGATGAGGTCTGTCAGGTGAAGCTATTGTATTTGGGAGCCGAGAATTGAAACATTCCATATCATTTGTGTCCCGGACATTCTTTTTTCGCGGTCGATGAATGACAATATAATCTCTTGTACCCTCGCCGGCATAGGCGGTGGAATGGGGAGGGCACCGGGGCACCGTTCCCCTCTTTAATTTTGGCCTTTTAACAGTAGCCCTATGGGCGTTGCATGGAAAGAATGGGACTAAAAGTCGGCAGTGCCGTGCCCCCCCCCCCCCAATTGAAGGTGTTCCGCCGCTACTACTCGCCGGACCTATTTGTTTTCTACATACACGCCGGCCGAGGGGGGCGGGTACGACCCCCCCCCCCCCATCGCCGTTTCGCCACTGGTGGAGCTAGCGCGTCGCGGAAAAAAACGAGCGTGTGCGCCGTTACGAGACGCGCAGAGGTGAGAGGTTAATACCCGATTTTAAGGCCTTTTAGGTTAGGGGTCGGCTTACAGCCCGCGGGCCGGATCTGGCCAGGAGGGTGACGGTTGGATCCGGCCCGCGACCATCTGACGTCCGGCCCGCGCAAGTTTTGTCTAGAAGTAGAATTAGACAAAAACACCCGCAAATGGTGTTTATAAACTCATGAAGTGTGCGAAGGAAGAACTATTGTGCCAAAGCACATTTAAGTCACTTTTATATCGGAGTCGATTTCTGAAGGAACCGCGGGCCGGAACACGATGTAAGTCGATGATACCAGCCGCGGGCCGGACGTCAGATGGTCGCGGGCCGGATCCAACCGTCACCCTCCTGGCCGGATCCGGCCCGCGGGCCGTAAGCCGACCCCTGACCTAGAAGGCCTTAAAATCGGGTATTAATCTCTGCGTCTCGTAACGGCGTACACGCTCGTTTTTTTCCGCGACGCGCTAGCTCCACCAGTGGCGAAACGGCGATGGGGGGGGGGGGGGTCGTACCCGCCCCCCCCTTCGGCCGGCGTGTATGTAGAAAACAAATAGGTCCGGCGAGCAGTAGCGGCGGAACACCTTCAATTAGGGGGGGGGGGGCACGGCACTGCCGACTTTTAGTCCCATTCTTTCCATGCAACGCCCATAGGGCTACTGTTAAAAGGTCAAAATTAAAGAGGGGAACGGTGCCCCGGTGCCCTCCCCATTCTGCCGCCTATGCCGGCGAGGGTACAAGAGATTATATTGTCATTCATCGACCGCGAAAAAAGAATGTCCGGGACACAAATGATATGGAATGTTTCAATTCTCGGCTCCCAAATACAATAGCTTCACCTAACAGACCTCATCTACCTGACTTCAAAAGTTTCGATCATCCATTCCATGCATTAAATTCGTCAATCACTTGATGGTCTGATATTTCTTCATGGTTTTATTGAACCACATTTGTGGACGAATGTTTGCGAAGACGAAGATAGCGGAGACAAAGGTTTGCGGACGAAAATATGCGCAGACAAAGATTTGCGGACGAAGATTTGCGTGGACGAAAAATGCGGACGAAGATTTGCGGACGAAGATTTGCGGACGAAGTTTTGCAGACGAAGATTTGCGGACGAAGATTTGCCGGGACGAAGATTTGCGTGGACGAAGAAATGCGGACGAAGATTTGCGTAGACGAAGAAATGCGTGGACGAAAAAATGCGGACGAAGATTTGCGGACGAAGATTTGCGGGGACGAAGATTTGCGGACGAAGATATGCGCAGACGAAGATTTGCGTGGACGAAGAAATGCGGACGAAGATTTGCGTAGACGAAGAAATGCGTGGACGAAAAAATGCTTGACGAAGAAATGCGCGTACGAAGAAATGCGGATACGAAAAAATGCGCTACGAATATTTGCGCTTACGAAGAAATGCGAGACGAAGTTATGCGACACGAATAAATGCGCCGACGAAGATTTGCGGACGAAGAAATGCGGACGAAGAATTGCGCGACGAAGAAATGCCATACGAAGATTTGTCCTGGAATCATCAGGTAGTATCTGACAGACAAATCTGGGACTTGCACATTGCAGTTGACGAAATACGGTCATCCGGGGATTCGACTACTTGAGCCACAGCACAGTGGTGGTCCTCAAGGCCTGCCAATTCCAGTCTGCAAAGTATGGCAATCTCGATGCAATCTCGTAGGTGCGGGCTTGTTCGGTTGGTGCGGATTTGGTGCAGTGTGGTGCGGTGTGATGCGGAGTTGGCTTGGAGCGATGCGGATTTAGTGTAATACGGTGCGGATTTTACTTATTGCGGTGCAGATTTAGAGTAGCGGGGTGCGGATTTGACTTGGTGACGGTCACGGACATGACGGACCAGACGAAATAGATGAAGAAAAGTCGAAAAACATTGTTGACAGCCTGGAAATGAAGTGGAAACGATGCTTCGAGGATTGTTGAAGAAAAATTCAACTAACGCACAGTCTTCCACACGAGAAATTGTAATTTCAATTATTCAAAATCTCAATTAACTTAGATGAACTCACCCAAATCGTATAAAACTGTCACACAGATCACACCTACCT